TTCAACCCCCTTCAAATAAAGTGTTACCCAATCGTCTTATCTTGAATGTGAACTAAACAAAAGAGCTGATTACAGATTTCAAGAAAAACAGGAGACATGATGGGGGAAGAAGTGGAGGTGGAGGAGGAGCATAAATACCTCGGTGTTCACATGGACAACAGACTAGACTGGAAATGAAGCAGCGAGACAAACTACAAGAAGGGACAGACTAGAGCAGGCTGTACTTCTTGATGAAGCTAAGGTCCTTCAAGGGTTGCAGCAAGATGATATGCAAATCTTCTATAAGTCTGTTGCGGAGAGTGTAATCTCTTCTGCCATCACCTGTTGGGGCAGCAGCATCAAACCTAGGGACTTAAAAAGGCTCAACAACCTGAAGAAGGCTGGTTCTGTTCTGGTGGAACCACAGGAGATGACGGAGCAAAGAGGGATTCTTCATGAAATCAAGAAAATGACAGCGAATCATGACTGACTGTGTTCATTCAGACTGGATGTACAACCACAGTAACAACAACATTTAATTTCCCTCTGGGATTAATCAAGTATTTTCGAATGAAACTGATTTTACTTTGAATTTCCTATTAGGCTTTCTTCAAAAACTGAATATATTAAAATTAAAAGTATTTTTAGAAACAATGTCATAGTGTGGGAATGTGTTACTACAACAAAATTTGAATTCATTTCATTGCTTTATACAGATATTTTGAGGCACTCTATTGTCTACGATCCTTCATAAACCACAGTCCCAAAAGGTATTGTGCTGATAGTTGCTCTTACTGTAAGTACAGTGAAGTCTATGGGAGTAGCCATATTCTTGACTTTCTGACATAAACAAAGTCACAAAAACACACATCTGAGTACTTGAACAGCATGTTCTCTTGTCTTTCCCCTTTTGAAGAGTTTTCAAGAGAACCAGTGGTCATGGGTGGCAAATTAAACAATCCAAAACACTCTGAGGATTTAAATTCTGTTTTCATACCCAAGTTTGTTCGAAGACCAAAACATTTATAATAAAAAATACCAACTAGTTTGAGTGTATGATCTTAAAATGAGAATCTCAGCTTTAAATCATAATTCACAAATGTAAAGACGGTGCAAATGTAATTGGAAAAATTCACAAAGCTGCAAACTTAAGCCAGGATTTCTGTGGCATTTTTTTTCTTCAAACAAGTTCTAGCTTAGTTGTCTCAAAACAAAGCCCCCAGTTTGCACCTGTACCTGTTGCATACTTTAGAGTCCGATTGTAGCTTGGCAGTCTTGTCCACCGCTCTCCATGGTCCTCTTGTCCTTCTGCCGTCTCCTTACTCAGCCTGTTATAATGGTTGTACAGCTGCATCATCTCTTTCCCCCATGACGAGTTGGGCAGGCTGAAGTCTCGAGGTTTTCGGGCAAAGATTTTTGGCAGTGCATGCTGAACATTAAAACAAATTACATTTTTTTTTTAAAAGCTTCAAGTAAATCTAGAGTAGTCAAAACAAGCAGCCAAAATACACATATTATCTCTGAAGAGATTTACAGCTAAGCTGGAAGAATCTGTTGACAGGACAACTATTAGTAACACACTTCACGAATCTGTCCTTTACGAAAAAGTGGCAAGAAGAACTACTACTTATGTTAACATGGGAGAGAACTATTGCCACCATGGAATGTGGTGGTGGCAGTCTCAAGGTGTATAGTATTTTTACAGCAGAAACAAGGAAGCTGGTCAGAATCCATGGCATGATCAAAACCATGTTAAGCCTTCCTTCTGCTTCAAAACGAGAGTTTCTAAATATCCCAATGAAATACATTGTGGTTGTAACGTAATAAATGTGAATACTTTTGCAAAGCAAGACAAAAAAAAAGTAGCTTTAAACTAGCTTAGGTCATCACTGAAGCACAAATTTACTTATTCATTTTTTAAAATGTCCATCTCGTTTAAAAATACATTATTGTTCTCATCCTGTGACAGAGTACCTGAGTAATTTTTTGGTTGTCTGTCATTCATATGAGGATGGTGCGGTCACACTAAACAGAAGGCCCAGGATCCAATGAGAATAGCATGAGGTTCACAGCGTCATCCAGCACAAATAACCAGCTTATTATGGTACCTACCACCAAGGTCCGCTCTGAGGTGGTCCTGAATAAAACACTAGAACATTGTGTCTTCAGTGGTGGATTCCCGAATGGGAGAGAACCGAAGCACCGAAATCCGCTGAATATTCGACCGACGCTTCGTGCCATTTCTAATCTGAAGAAAAATCTAAGAAAGAAAAAACACCTATGTTTTGTATTCAAGAAGGGGATGCTACTGTAACTGTAAGGTTGCTCTAATTAAGGGCTGCGAGTTTGTTTCTAAACGGCTTTAAAACGCGGTCATAGCTAACATCGAGACTAAAATACTGCCACTTCAATAAAAACTTGAAAAACTCCTTCATTAAACTCGTTTATATATATTTTTAAAGCCAACTAGCTCGGATAGCTAACACTGTTATTGTTTTACCGGTGACTTTCATGTGTCACGATGATTCGCGCAGTGTCTGCCAACTTCCGGCACCGGTAACAGTGACGCAATTGCCGGGTCATGTCACGTGCTTTGAGATTTGCATCAGGATTGGTTGAAGGATCAACAGAGCTTCCTGTACCACCTACTTTGTCATAGCAACCAGTGATCTGTTTAATAAGCCGCCAAACGGGGAGTTGGATTTAACGCTGTTTGCTCACTTTCTTGACTCACTAAGACGGAAAAAACTAGTTTCCTAAATTTGTTGGAGAGGTGGCCAGTTTCTTGAAGCCCAGTCTCTGTCACACGTACTTACAATTTCACAATGTGATGTAAATGAGAGACGCAGGACTAAATAACTTAGTTGATCAATGTAATGTATAGACTCAATGTCTATTGAGTAGTGAAATAGACAATGAGTATTAATGAGTTAGATATCGTAAATGTGCCCGTTTAACCTGAAGTAAAAAAACAATTTAAATTAAATAAATTTCCATTTTTAGTCACTGGCATGTAGATTTCAACTTAGAAGATAGAATACAGAAAATGAAATTATATTCAATTCAAAAATGTTATTAGCCCGAGAGGAAATTTAACTGTTGAATAATTTACTTCAAAAAGTTGTAGATATATACCCAAGTTGACAATGAAGTCAATATTGAAAGCATAGATAGATGTTTAAATATATTTTGTGTACAACTTTGTTCCAAAATCCAAAAAAATTTAAATAATTTCTTTAATGTATTCCAAAGTACGCATATATCAATAGAACATATTTTTTTCTCAAATTTAAATGTACTATAACACAATAGTAAATGTATTAATTCCCCATACATTTCTGTAAATGTGCCTTCTGTATGGGGAAAAAAAATAAAAATGTTCTTTGTACCAACAATGATAAAGCCAACAAAACTTACAATTTATAGGCATTTTATTTGGATAAACCCCATTTTAAACAAATTGGTCTATGTGAAAATGACTGTCTCCTCTCTTTTAAAAAGTTGTGAAAGTTTTAACAAGTCTTGTTATTTTTTTACACTTTTTCTCTGAAATTCTGATAAAAATAAAACAAATGCTAAATGTCTGACTGCAGAGGCAACATGGTTAGGGAAGCTAATATATATATATATAAACACAATAAATGGGCAAAAATAAAGAGACTAAGCACAACTGCATAGAAAATAAATATTAAAAATTGAACATATTCAGAAACCACAAAGCTTTTAGCAGACAATTTTGAAAATTGCCAGCTTTAATAACCAACTCATAACCAGAAAATAAATGGTGCAAAGTTTTCATTGCTTTAAATCCCTCAAGTGTCAGATTGTTTTTCTCATTTTAAAACATTTTTCTACAATGAATATTTACTAAGCACAACCAAAGTATTACAAAAGGTTTTGCCATTGACACTATGGAAAAAAAAAACCCTTAAATTCTCCACTAGAGGGAGTCAAAGGACTAAACCTCTCAGCTGAAGGCTTGTCACATTATTTAACTATTTTACTGTTGTGCCTACAGTGATGTTTCAGATAATAACAAAATTATTTGAGTCTAGCAGTGTAAATAATGAATTCCACAATACAGAATACGTTTTAAAGTAAAGATTCAAGAAGCCAAACAATATTCAACCGAAACAATCACTTCAAAAACAGAACAAAATTTAAATAAAAATGTGAAAAACTATTTCCCTTTTCCCATAGGTCAGCTAAATGTGCATGACAACAATACATATAAAAATAAGAAGACAAACAAACAAAAAAAAAGATGCCAACAGAACTTATAGATGGTTCTTCTCAGGTTTGACCCTGCGTGGAAAAGTTCAACCAAGTTTACTCGGATTTGATTTTATTGTGGTGGAGCGGACTCTCCACACAGTTTCCTACAAAAACAAAAAGAGAAAATCAGAAATCAGGACCTGACATAATAAAGGCTTTGATGTCACCATGACCAGTAGCTCTTTGCTTTACTCACCGTGCTTCTTCCTTAGTCATATCTGCATGGGCACAAATTGCTTTTTCTCTGTCCAAGATCTGTTGTTTCAAGTTCCCAATCTCCTCTTCAGCCTTATTCTTGGCTGCTTCATGATCAGCTGGAAAAAATAATAATAAATTGGAGAATTTCTGTATTTGATGCCTAGAAACATGTCTAAATGATTGCTATATCATCGCCATTAGAGTTCAGTACATGATACCATGTTACAAAACAAGACGTTTGAAGAGAGAGCTAATGAAGTTTCATGTGGGTTTATGGGACTGCACCAGGAAACATATTTGCATACATATTGCTACAGTTCAGTGGCAGTGTTCTTCTGTCTAGACTTACTTTTGAGCTTATTTATGGATTCTTCCAACTCGGTCTTCTTCTTTTCAGCGTTTCCCTAAAATGATGAATATAAATGCACTTGTTAGGAGTGGAAAAGAAAAAGGCCATGTGCAAAACAATATATATTATAGAGACAACACTGGCAAGGGTGGTAGGAGTTCATCCTGTAACTGGGGAGCTGCAGGTTCGAATTCCCATTCCATCCGTCTCAGTTGCTGTGTATTTAATATTCGTATTTTTTAAACATATTTCAATCAAATTGGCTGTTAGTGCATAATTAATGTTCAAATTCATAAACATAGGGGGAAAAATTATCAGCTGCATGCTAAATAGCTTTTCAGTTGCCTTGATGTCTCTCCAGGATGATTAAGCATTCTCATGTATTCTGCACCTTATAAGAAGTAAAAGAAACCGTTTATGCTGAAAGTACACCTTTTTAGGTTCGATTGAGAGATTCTTTTAATCAGACTGAGATTTAAGAAAAGGGGTACAAATCATAGGGCAACCGCCACTGCTTGGACCTGAAACGTTGAAAACTTTATGTGAGTGTTTGCGCCTTGCCTTCGCCGCGTTGCAGGTCTCCAGACTTTTCTCAGCCTCCTGCAGCGCCTTCTCCTTCTCCGTCTTCTCCTTCTTCAGGTCCTCCAGCTTCAGGTTGGCGTTGTCCACTGTGGATTTGAGCTCCTGGATTTTACTTTTCATGTCCATGATGGAGTCTTCCCTCCTCTTCACCTCCGCAGAGCTCTCCACCATGCGGGCCCTCAGGTTACGCAGACTCAGCTCCTGCCGCAGAGTCTGGAAAATCATCGCTACCATAACCGCCACGCTGACGGCGACAAAAAAAATCACCAGCTTCATCGTTTTTTTGTGTGTTTTTTTTTTCTGTTGTTCTCACTTGATCGATGGTAGATTTTGACTGGGGCCGTCTGCTGTGGTAAAACCTGCCGGTAGTCACTTGTTCATCCCTAGAAGAATGTCTCCAGCTCTCTTCCCGAGATCAGCGACGCCAAAGTTGTAGTAACCGGCTCTACCTGCCGAGCAAGCTGGGCGTGTCGATTCACCTGCTTCCTGGTGACACCTTTATGCGTTGGCACTAAGAAAGGATTTTAAAAATGAAAAGAAAAATATATGTAAATTGCCTTTGAACTTTTATTTTTCCAAAAACCTGTTGATGTTGGAATTAAAAAAAGAAAATCCTTATAGGCTACATAATTATAGTTTAACTGTTAAATATAATGCTGTTAATGGATAATTAAATGTGTTCATTTGCAAGAAAATTACTTAAATCTTTGTGTGGCATTTGTTAAAAGTTCAGAAAACTTTTAAGTTGATTTTTTTTTTTATAAAATATGAGCGGGCAAATCAATTAGATTTCGTAAAGGGGTAATTCAGTTTTTAAGTGACTTTCTGTTAAGGTATTTACCACCAGTAAATTACCGTACTCTCTTAACCTCAAAAATCCAGGTTAGCTTGTTAGATACATCCAAGACCAAAACAGCTTCATCAAAAAAAAACAAAAAAAAAAAAAACAACTTAGTCTGTTTATTCAAGGGGTGAGGCATTCTAATATCCTCATGGGAAAGGAACTAGTAAAGTATTTCTGGCCAGAGACATTTTGGGCACAAAAGCGGTGTAAAAAATTGCTTGGGGGTGTGTTAAGTAAATGCAGCTTTATTTATTTTAAAGTGTCCTCTTGTAATCTGCCCCATGACCATTGACCATGGCCTTTGTGTCACACAAATCTAGAAAAACATACATATGCATGGAGGAATATATAAGTATAATATATGTTTGCTTGTTATTTCTTGTGTAGAGTGCTAAACTAGTTTAGGATGTACAAAAAACCCCAAAAACAAATAAAAGTAAGGAAGGCATGTTGTACTGAAATATATCAACATTTATAATATCTCACCAAAGCAAGTACACCAATCAAATTTCTGAAAAAATGTTAGCCCATATCTTTTTATGGGACTTTGCTCCGCACCAGTTTGTCTTTTGAAAATAGATGCATGAGTGCTGCCAGCAGTCCTGCAGAGGTCGAAAGGAAGCAGATGATCAGGTTGTTAGAGCTCAGATCTTTCGCGGCTCGCTGCCTCAAGTTCATCTGCATGGCTGTCTTTCCAGGAGGAAAGTTCCTCTATAGGAAATGCAAAACAAAGCCCACAAACTGTTTGCTGAGTACCAGTAGACTAAGCACATGGATTACTGGAAACATGTCCTGTGGTCTGATGAGACCACATAAACTTATGTTGGTCTCAGATGGTGTCCAGGTGAGAAGTACAAAGACAAGTGTGTCCAAACTACAGTGACTTCTTGGTGGTAGGAGTGTCAAGTGTAATAACAGTTGTTCGTTTTTGTTTTTTAAATAACTGTTACATGAATGTTGGGTTTATTTTGACACCTTTGAGAATATTTTCACCTGCACATATGCAAAAATACTGCTTTAACAACATTTTTTGACTGTTTCACAACAGCACACATATGCCCATGGATTGTGTACATCTTCTTCTTCATGTTTCATGTTTTGTCACAACAAAAAGGTACAGTTTGAATATTGACTATATACACATATAGTTACTCTGATAACATGCTGTTCAGCATGTTTCTCAGGATGGTGGANCAATCGTCTTATCTTGAATGTGAACTAAACAAAAGAGCTGATTACAGATTTCAAGAAAAACAGGAGACATGATGGGGGAAGAAGTGGAGGTGGAGGAGGAGCATAAATACCTCGGTGTTCACATGGACAACAGACTAGACTGGAAATGAAGCAGCGAGACAAACTACAAGAAGGGACAGACTAGAGCAGGCTGTACTTCTTGATGAAGCTAAGGTCCTTCAAGGGTTGCAGCAAGATGATATGCAAATCTTCTATAAGTCTGTTGCGGAGAGTGTAATCTCTTCTGCCATCACCTGTTGGGGCAGCAGCATCAAACCTAGGGACTTAAAAAGGCTCAACAACCTGAAGAAGGCTGGTTCTGTTCTGGTGGAACCACAGGAGATGACGGAGCAAAGAGGGATTCTTCATGAAATCAAGAAAATGACAGCGAATCATGACTGACTGTGTTCATTCAGACTGGATGTACAACCACAGTAACAACAACATTTAATTTCCCTCTGGGATTAATCAAGTATTTTCGAATGAAACTGATTTTACTTTGAATTTCCTATTAGGCTTTCTTCAAAAACTGAATATATTAAAATTAAAAGTATTTTTAGAAACAATGTCATAGTGTGGGAATGTGTTACTACAACAAAATTTGAATTCATTTCATTGCTTTATACAGATATTTTGAGGCACTCTATTGTCTACGATCCTTCATAAACCACAGTCCCAAAAGGTATTGTGCTGATAGTTGCTCTTACTGTAAGTACAGTGAAGTCTATGGGAGTAGCCATATTCTTGACTTTCTGACATAAACAAAGTCACAAAAACACACATCTGAGTACTTGAACAGCATGTTCTCTTGTCTTTCCCCTTTTGAAGAGTTTTCAAGAGAACCAGTGGTCATGGGTGGCAAATTAAACAATCCAAAACACTCTGAGGATTTAAATTCTGTTTTCATACCCAAGTTTGTTCGAAGACCAAAACATTTATAATAAAAAATACCAACTAGTTTGAGTGTATGATCTTAAAATGAGAATCTCAGCTTTAAATCATAATTCACAAATGTAAAGACGGTGCAAATGTAATTGGAAAAATTCACAAAGCTGCAAACTTAAGCCAGGATTTCTGTGGCATTTTTTTTCTTCAAACAAGTTCTAGCTTAGTTGTCTCAAAACAAAGCCCCCAGTTTGCACCTGTACCTGTTGCATACTTTAGAGTCCGATTGTAGCTTGGCAGTCTTGTCCACCGCTCTCCATGGTCCTCTTGTCCTTCTGCCGTCTCCTTACTCAGCCTGTTATAATGGTTGTACAGCTGCATCATCTCTTTCCCCCATGACGAGTTGGGCAGGCTGAAGTCTCGAGGTTTTCGGGCAAAGATTTTTGGCAGTGCATGCTGAACATTAAAACAAATTACATTTTTTTTTTAAAAGCTTCAAGTAAATCTAGAGTAGTCAAAACAAGCAGCCAAAATACACATATTATCTCTGAAGAGATTTACAGCTAAGCTGGAAGAATCTGTTGACAGGACAACTATTAGTAACACACTTCACGAATCTGTCCTTTACGAAAAAGTGGCAAGAAGAACTACTACTTATGTTAACATGGGAGAGAACTATTGCCACCATGGAATGTGGTGGTGGCAGTCTCAAGGTGTATAGTATTTTTACAGCAGAAACAAGGAAGCTGGTCAGAATCCATGGCATGATCAAAACCATGTTAAGCCTTCCTTCTGCTTCAAAACGAGAGTTTCTAAATATCCCAATGAAATACATTGTGGTTGTAACGTAATAAATGTGAATACTTTTGCAAAGCAAGACAAAAAAAAAGTAGCTTTAAACTAGCTTAGGTCATCACTGAAGCACAAATTTACTTATTCATTTTTTAAAATGTCCATCTCGTTTAAAAATACATTATTGTTCTCATCCTGTGACAGAGTACCTGAGTAATTTTTTGGTTGTCTGTCATTCATATGAGGATGGTGCGGTCACACTAAACAGAAGGCCCAGGATCCAATGAGAATAGCATGAGGTTCACAGCGTCATCCAGCACAAATAACCAGCTTATTATGGTACCTACCACCAAGGTCCGCTCTGAGGTGGTCCTGAATAAAACACTAGAACATTGTGTCTTCAGTGGTGGATTCCCGAATGGGAGAGAACCGAAGCACCGAAATCCGCTGAATATTCGACCGACGCTTCGTGCCATTTCTAATCTGAAGAAAAATCTAAGAAAGAAAAAACACCTATGTTTTGTATTCAAGAAGGGGATGCTACTGTAACTGTAAGGTTGCTCTAATTAAGGGCTGCGAGTTTGTTTCTAAACGGCTTTAAAACGCGGTCATAGCTAACATCGAGACTAAAATACTGCCACTTCAATAAAAACTTGAAAAACTCCTTCATTAAACTCGTTTATATATATTTTTAAAGCCAACTAGCTCGGATAGCTAACACTGTTATTGTTTTACCGGTGACTTTCATGTGTCACGATGATTCGCGCAGTGTCTGCCAACTTCCGGCACCGGTAACAGTGACGCAATTGCCGGGTCATGTCACGTGCTTTGAGATTTGCATCAGGATTGGTTGAAGGATCAACAGAGCTTCCTGTACCACCTACTTTGTCATAGCAACCAGTGATCTGTTTAATAAGCCGCCAAACGGGGAGTTGGATTTAACGCTGTTTGCTCACTTTCTTGACTCACTAAGACGGAAAAAACTAGTTTCCTAAATTTGTTGGAGAGGTGGCCAGTTTCTTGAAGCCCAGTCTCTGTCACACGTACTTACAATTTCACAATGTGATGTAAATGAGAGACGCAGGACTAAATAACTTAGTTGATCAATGTAATGTATAGACTCAATGTCTATTGAGTAGTGAAATAGACAATGAGTATTAATGAGTTAGATATCGTAAATGTGCCCGTTTAACCTGAAGTAAAAAAACAATTTAAATTAAATAAATTTCCATTTTTAGTCACTGGCATGTAGATTTCAACTTAGAAGATAGAATACAGAAAATGAAATTATATTCAATTCAAAAATGTTATTAGCCCGAGAGGAAATTTAACTGTTGAATAATTTACTTCAAAAAGTTGTAGATATATACCCAAGTTGACAATGAAGTCAATATTGAAAGCATAGATAGATGTTTAAATATATTTTGTGTACAACTTTGTTCCAAAATCCAAAAAAATTTAAATAATTTCTTTAATGTATTCCAAAGTACGCATATATCAATAGAACATATTTTTTTCTCAAATTTAAATGTACTATAACACAATAGTAAATGTATTAATTCCCCATACATTTCTGTAAATGTGCCTTCTGTATGGGGAAAAAAAATAAAAATGTTCTTTGTACCAACAATGATAAAGCCAACAAAACTTACAATTTATAGGCATTTTATTTGGATAAACCCCATTTTAAACAAATTGGTCTATGTGAAAATGACTGTCTCCTCTCTTTTAAAAAGTTGTGAAAGTTTTAACAAGTCTTGTTATTTTTTTACACTTTTTCTCTGAAATTCTGATAAAAATAAAACAAATGCTAAATGTCTGACTGCAGAGGCAACATGGTTAGGGAAGCTAATATATATATATATAAACACAATAAATGGGCAAAAATAAAGAGACTAAGCACAACTGCATAGAAAATAAATATTAAAAATTGAACATATTCAGAAACCACAAAGCTTTTAGCAGACAATTTTGAAAATTGCCAGCTTTAATAACCAACTCATAACCAGAAAATAAATGGTGCAAAGTTTTCATTGCTTTAAATCCCTCAAGTGTCAGATTGTTTTTCTCATTTTAAAACATTTTTCTACAATGAATATTTACTAAGCACAACCAAAGTATTACAAAAGGTTTTGCCATTGACACTATGGAAAAAAAAAACCCTTAAATTCTCCACTAGAGGGAGTCAAAGGACTAAACCTCTCAGCTGAAGGCTTGTCACATTATTTAACTATTTTACTGTTGTGCCTACAGTGATGTTTCAGATAATAACAAAATTATTTGAGTCTAGCAGTGTAAATAATGAATTCCACAATACAGAATACGTTTTAAAGTATTTTAAAGATTCAAGAAGCCAAACAATATTCAACCGAAACAATCACTTCAAACACATAACATAATTTAAATAAAAATGTGAAAAACTATTTCCCTTTTCCCATCGGTCAGCTAAATGTGCATGACAACAATACATATAAAAATAAGAAGACAAACAAACAAAAAAAAAGATGCCAACAGAACTTATAGATGGTTCTTCTCAGGTTTGACCCTGCGTGGAAAAGTTCAACCAAGTTTACTCGGATTTGATTTTATTGTGGTGGAGCGGACTCTCCACACAGTTTCCTACAAAAACAAAAAGAGAAAATCAGAAATCAGGACCTGACATAATAAAGGCTTTGATGTCACCATGACCAGTAGCTCTTTGCTTTACTCACCGTGCTTCTTCCTTAGTCATATCTGCATGGGCACAAATTGCTTTTTCTCTGTCCAAGATCTGTTGTTTCAAGTTCCCAATCTCCTCTTCAGCCTTATTCTTGGCTGCTTCATGATCAGCTGGAAAAAATAATAATAAATTGGAGAATTTCTGTATTTGATGCCTAGAAACATGTCTAAATGATTGCTATATCATCGCCATTAGAGTTCAGTACATGATACCATGTTACAAAACAAGACGTTTGAAGAGAGAGCTAATGAAGTTTCATGTGGGTTTATGGGACTGCACCAGGAAACATATTTGCATACATATTGCTACAGTTCAGTGGCAGTGTTCTTCTGTCTAGACTTACTTTTGAGCTTATTTATGGATTCTTCCAACTCGGTCTTCTTCTTTTCAGCGTTTCCCTAAAATGATGAATATAAATGCACTTGTTAGGAGTGGAAAAGAAAAAGGCCATGTGCAAAACAATATATATTATAGAGACAACACTGGCAAGGGTGGTAGGAGTTCATCCTGTAACTGGGGAGCTGCAGGTTCGAATTCCCATTCCATCCGTCTCAGTTGCTGTGTATTTAATATTCGTATTTTTTAAACATATTTCAATCAAATTGGCTGTTAGTGCATAATTAATGTTCAAATTCATAAACATAGGGGGAAAAATTATCAGCTGCATGCTAAATAGCTTTTCAGTTGCCTTGATGTCTCTCCAGGATGATTAAGCATTCTCATGTATTCTGCACCTTATAAGAAGTAAAAGAAACCGTTTATGCTGAAAGTACACCTTTTTAGGTTCGATTGAGAGATTCTTTTAATCAGACTGAGATTTAAGAAAAGGGGTACAAATCATAGGGCAACCGCCACTGCTTGGACCTGAAACGTTGAAAACTTTATGTGAGTGTTTGCGCCTTGCCTTCGCCGCGTTGCAGGTCTCCAGACTTTTCTCAGCCTCCTGCAGCGCCTTCTCCTTCTCCGTCTTCTCCTTCTTCAGGTCCTCCAGCTTCAGGTTGGCGTTGTCCACTGTGGATTTGAGCTCCTGGATTTTACTTTTCATGTCCATGATGGAGTCTTCCCTCCTCTTCACCTCCGCAGAGCTCTCCACCATGCGGGCCCTCAGGTTACGCAGACTCAGCTCCTGCCGCAGAGTCTGGAAAATCATCGCTACCATAACCGCCACGCTGACGGCGACAAAAAAAATCACCAGCTTCATCGTTTTTTTGTGTGTTTTTTTTTTCTGTTGTTCTCACTTGATCGATGGTAGATTTTGACTGGGGCCGTCTGCTGTGGTAAAACCTGCCGGTAGTCACTTGTTCATCCCTAGAAGAATGTCTCCAGCTCTCTTCCCGAGATCAGCGACGCCAAAGTTGTAGTAACCGGCTCTACCTGCCGAGCAAGCTGGGCGTGTCGATTCACCTGCTTCCTGGTGACACCTTTATGCGTTGGCACTAAGAAAGGATTTTAAAAATGAAAAGAAAAATATATGTAAATTGCCTTTGAACTTTTATTTTTCCAAAAACCTGTTGATGTTGGAATTAAAAAAAGAAAATCCTTATAGGCTACATAATTATAGTTTAACTGTTAAATATAATGCTGTTAATGGATAATTAAATGTGTTCATTTGCAAGAAAATTACTTAAATCTTTGTGTGGCATTTGTTAAAAGTTCAGAAAACTTTTAAGTTGATTTTTTTTTTTATAAAATATGAGCGGGCAAATCAATTAGATTTCGTAAAGGGGTAATTCAGTTTTTAAGTGACTTTCTGTTAAGGTATTTACCACCAGTAAATTACCGTACTCTCTTAACCTCAAAAATCCAGGTTAGCTTGTTAGATACATCCAAGACCAAAACAGCTTCATCAAAAAAAAACAAAAAAAAAAAAAACAACTTAGTCTGTTTATTCAAGGGGTGAGGCATTCTAATATCCTCATGGGAAAGGAACTAGTAAAGTATTTCTGGCCAGAGACATTTTGGGCACAAAAGCGGTGTAAAAAATTGCTTGGGGGTGTGTTAAGTAAATGCAGCTTTATTTATTTTAAAGTGTCCTCTTGTAATCTGCCCCATGACCATTGACCATGGCCTTTGTGTCACACAAATCTAGAAAAACATACATATGCATGGAGGAATATATAAGTATAATATATGTTTGCTTGTTATTTCTTGTGTAGAGTGCTAAACTAGTTTAGGATGTACAAAAAACCCCAAAAACAAATAAAAGTAAGGAAGGCATGTTGTACTGAAATATATCAACATTTATAATATCTCACCAAAGCAAGTACACCAATCAAATTTCTGAAAAAATGTTAGCCCATATCTTTTTATGGGACTTTGCTCCGCACCAGTTTGTCTTTTGAAAATAGATGCATGAGTGCTGCCAGCAGTCCTGCAGAGGTCGAAAGGAAGCAGATGATCAGGTTGTTAGAGCTCAGATCTTTCGCGGCTCGCTGCCTCAAGTTCATCTGCATGGCTGTCTTTCCAGGAGGAAAGTTCCTCTATAGGAAATGCAAAACAAAGCCCACAAACTGTTTGCTGAGTACCAGTAGACTAAGCACATGGATTACTGGAAACATGTCCTGTGGTCTGATGAGACCACATAAACTTATGTTGGTCTCAGATGGTGTCCAGGTGAGAAGTACAAAGACAAGTGTGTCCAAACTACAGTGACTTCTTGGTGGTAGGAGTGTCAAGTGTAATAACAGTTGTTCGTTTTTGTTTTTTAAATAACTGTTACATGAATGTTGGGTTTATTTTGACACCTTTGAGAATATTTTCACCTGCACATATGCAAAAATACTGCTTTAACAACATTTTTTGACTGTTTCACAACAGCACACATATGCCCATGGATTGTGTACATCTTCTTCTTCATGTTTCATGTTTTGTCACAACAAAAAGGTACAGTTTGAATATTGACTATATACACATATAGTTACTCTGATAACATGCTGTTCAGCATGTTTCTCAGGATGGTGGATCGTAAAGCCTCTAATTTAAATTTTTTGACTTATTTGTAAATAACCGCCCAAAATGTAATGGTTTATAGCAGGGGTGTCAAACTCCAGTCCTCAAGGGCCTCTGTCCTGCAACTTTTAGATGTGCCTCTGCTGCACCACACCTGAAAAGAATAATTAGGTCATTAGCAAGGCTCAGGAGAACCGATCTACACAGGGAGGAGGTAATTAAGCCATTTCATTCCACTGTTTTTTACCTGTGGCACATCTAAACACTGCAGGACAGCGGCCCTTGAGGACTGGAGTGTGACACCCCTGGTTTATAGGTTTTGAATATATCACCTGCTTTTTGTTTTAGATTAGAGTTGCTTTAGATAGTAGAAGTACTCGGGTCCAACTGAACTTTATTTACAGTAAACAGAAATGTAGCGAACTTCAACAAGTATAGGTAAGATAATAACCCCGTGCAAACTTTCAACAAAACCTTACGGTGGAAATTCTGAACTATCCCTTTAAGTGGCGAGACAAAAGGTGCCAGGTCTGACGTGTTACAAGGACTTCGCGCGTACAGGTACAGCAACCTGTTCCTGTTTTAGAAGCGATGCGGGAAGGGGGCGTTTCTTCCTGCTTCCAGCTCCGATCCAAGCAGGTGAGCAAAGAAAGCTCAGGTGAGTTGAGGATTGGCTTCAATTTACCCGCAATGCGTAGAGAGGAGGTGTAACCGTGGTGACGCGGAGCTTTCACGTTCAGGTTTGAGGAGCTTTCGGATGGCGCATGGAGAGTGAAGAACCCGGACACCTGTAGGAAGAACTCTTGACCTCCCCTCTTAAGGACACCGAACAAGAAAGTGTTCTGTTCTTGCACAGGATGAAGGTGCATCTCATGCTCCCTGTGGCGCTGCTGACGTCTGTTCTTTTGGTGGGATTACTAAAGATCCGCAAAAGGGACCATGATAAGGAAGAGAAGCGGAACCGGTTCCAGGACATCAAGCTGCGGGTGACCAGCGATGTCCTCCAGGGGTACCAGAAAGAGAAGGCCGAGAGGCAGAACGAGCTGGAAAAGGTCCAGGGCGAGCTGAAGGCCATGGAGGAGGCAGTGAAGGTTGCGCAGACCAAAGCAGAGAAGGCTGCTGGAGATTTAACTGGCTGCGAGGGTTCCCAGGTGATTATAGTTGGTTAAATAAAGTCAGCGTGATCATTTAATACAATGTACTTCTGACACGTCCAACTAAAACACATATCTGAAGAGACTATTGGCAATATGATGTATAACTATTACTATTGACACAAATTTGTAGTTATCTATTAAAAGAGTCATGTTCTACTATATGGTCTTTTCAATATTTTTAGACATACGTCTAACAATAAGACATGTATGTTTAGACATACATGTCTGAATCAGATCTATTCCTCCCCACCCAAGAGCCAAATATATTACCTGCCTAATATAATGTCAAACTGAACAGAATGTTGTGAAAACGGGCATACTCAACATATTAATAGGGCAATGAAGGCAATTCTGTTTAATTTTTGACATTTAAAAATATGTCTGGAAAACTCAAACCTCTCCGTTGGGAGCCTATGACTCATTTTCTTGTTGGATTATCTCTCAAAGTTTCTTTTTGCTCCGACAAAAGCATTGAGAACACGTTTCTTTGTGTAAAGGAATGTCGAGTGTCTTGCTTAATCTTTGATCAGCACAAACCAGAAAATCAGGCTTGACTTCTGCTTGCAGAGTGACTGACAGCAGGTCAGTGGGTAGCCGGAGTAAACGTTTGCCTGTTGCTCCATGTTAGCTATAGTGGTTTGTATTCTTTCTGCAAGTTCCAATGTCAGATTTTCTCTTACTTTCCAACTTAAGGCAGCCCCTGTTCCCAGAAGCAAAACTGTGGTTTGGCAATAGAAACAAATGATAAACTACAAGCAATATGTTTACATTTTCTTGTTCATTGGCAGAAATCTGGTGCTGATCAGCAGGCAGCAGAGGAAACAAACTTGGGCAACCTCAAAGGTAACCAAATCTTAATTTCTCAAAATGTTGGAAACAGTGTTCACACTTTTGTATGCATAACCTCCTAACTCTTTTTTTTTTCTTTTACTAGCAGTATACTGAAAAATTTTATTTTTATATCTTCCACAGCTCAAACTGAGAAGGAGACGACAGAGTGGAACGCAGAACTAGATCGACTGAAAAAGCAGCTGACAGAAAAAAGTCCAGTGTGTAACTTCTTGAAAGAGTACCCAGACCAAATAAAGTAATGTCATATCTTTATTTCAGTTGAATTTGCAGCATAAGTCTACTGATCACATTTTATAACTTTACTTTTTATTTTTTTTTCCTTTAAGGACTATGTGTGGCATTAAAGAAGAGCCAAAGGCAGAGCCTCCCAAACAAGAGGAGAAAAAGGCAGAACCCCCCAAACAAGAGGAGAAAAAGGAAGAGCCCCCCAAACAAGAGGAGAAAAAGGAAGAGCCCCCCAAACAAC